TACTATCTAGAGATAAAGAACTTAATAGATACTTCTAGTCGTTAAGCAGACTATATAAATATATATAATAGAGAGATAATACTACTAATATTATAAAATAAACTCTGATATAGTATAGAAAAGGGCTAAGAAATAGAAAACCTACTAGAAAAAGAACCTTCTACGTATTACTCTAAGGAGATAGAGAGAGCTAAAAGCGCAACTCTATAAATATATACTAAATCTAACAGGGAACCCTTTTAAAAAGACTATAAATATCGGACGATATCCCCTACAAAGGGTAATAGAAAGTAAGCTAGAATATATCTTATACCACGCCTCTATATTAACTACTTAGTAAGAGGCGATATAGTATATACTAATATCCTAGAACTATTCTAGAACTTCCTACTAAAAGCCTAGAAAAGCGATCTAGTCGCAGAGTAAAAAAGGAAGGAACTATAAGGTCGAGGAGAAAGTAATACTAAAGGGGGAAGAATAGATATTAGATAGGGATAATCTTCTAAGATTCTCGGGTAAAGTATATATCCCTAATAGCAGACCGCTAAAAGAGGAAATTATATAACTAAACCACGATAACCCACAAGGAGACTACTTTTAGAAATAAAAAAGATCTATTAAAGCTATTAGTAGTAAGTACTTTTAGTAAGGACTCTCTGCTAATATCTCAAACTATATATAAACCTGCGACATCTATTAAAGGGGAAAAATCTAGAAGGCACAAGTAGTATAGAAGTCTAGAAATAATTCCCTTACCCTCTAAACTATAGGAAATAGTAATAATAGACTTTATTATAGGACTACTACCTTTATTAAGGAGAGACGCAATATATAACGCGATCCTCGTAATAGTAGATATACTAACTAAGTTTACGCTATATATTCTAAGTATAAAAAATATTAAAGCGGAAGAACTAATAGAAGTCTACTATAAGAAAGTATTTAGTACTTATAAAGTACTACAAAACCTAATCTTAGATAGAGGAGTATTATTTATAAATAAGTACTAGTTAACCCTCTATTACTACCTTGGCGCAAAATATTAGCTTTCTATAGCCTTCCACCTATAAACTAATAGATAGACGGAGAGGTAGAACTAAATACTAGAATACTACTTAAGATATTTTATAAACTTCTAATAGGATAATTAGGTCTATTAGCTACCTCTAGCGTAATATATATATAATACCTCGCGCTATAGCGTTACGGGAGAAGTCCTATTTATAGCCCTTATAGGGTATAGACCGAAACTGAAACTCGATATAGATAGGTTCTAAATATCTTAATTAACTAATACTATAGAATAGGTAAAAATACTAGATAAAATTAGACTCGAGCTTATCTTATAGCTAGAAAAGGTAAGAGAGATATAAAAGAAGTACTACGATATAAAGTATAGTCTAAAAGAGTATAAAGTAGAAAACTAGGTATTACTTAATACTAAGAATATACGCTTAATTCGGCTAGTTAGAAAGCTAGACTATATTTTTATCGGACCTTTTAAGATACTATCTATATAGAGCGAATAAATATATAAACTATAATTAACCCTCGCATATAGATTAATACACCCTATTTTCTATATCTCTCTACTTAAACTATACTACTAAAGAGAAGGGATAGAACCTCCTCTAGGTTCGATATTAGTAGAGGGAGAAGAGGAATAGGTCGTTAAATAAATACTAAAATAGTAAAAATATCGGATAAAAATAGAATACCTAATCTAATAGAAAGGATAGAGATTAGAAAGCGATAGCTAGGAACTAGAGGAGAATATTATAGAGACAGAAGCCCTCGAAAAATTCTTATAGTAAGAAGCGGAGAGGGAGCTTAGGGGAGCTACTAAAAGATAGAGAGGAGATACTAAGGGGAGATAATTAAAAATCAAGAGTTTTTATTATTATTATCATGGTGAGCGGCTATAACTGGTATAGAATACTATAGGAAAAGAAAAAAATTAAAATAAAAAAAAAGAAAAATCTATCTATAAAAAGTGGGAGCATAGGGCAGAAGCTATAATATAAAAAACTCCACCCTTAGTTATTAAAACTACCCTACTCCTTATTATCCTTACTATTAGTAAACTTAGCCTTAAGGGCCTCCTTATACTTACGAACCTATATCTCTAATGCCTTATAAGCTTCGGGATTATTAGAGCTAGTTAGCCCATTATATAGACTAGAATCTAGGGGAGAACTAATAATAATAGAACTAGTAGTCCGTATCCCTAATAGGGATACGAAGCGATAACAAATAGAAATAATAACCTCTACTAACTTCTAGAAATAGTCTAAAGACTAGCGATAATAATATCTATAGGGAGAATTAGGCCCTATAGTAGCTCCTCTACTATTTAGCTTTATATATTTCTTTACTACCTTATACGCGTCCCGAATAGCACGAGCTACTAATAATATAGATTCCCCTAGATAAGACTTCGCGGTAGCCTTAATATAGATAAATAGTAGATAGTAAATAGGGTAAGAGGGGGTAAGCTTCCTAAATATTAGTAATATTATCCCTAAAGCTTCGCGTAGGAATCGGGAATAACTTACTAGGATATACTCCTTATATATAGTAGTATAATAGATATAGGAATAATATCTAGAGGGCATGTAGTAGTATTTATAATCCCTATAATAGGGGAGGTAGTAAGCGTACGAAATATAACTTTTACTATATTAAAATCCGCGACTGTTAGAAATAGGGGAAGGAAAGGAATACTTATAGTATAGAGGTAGGGATCTCTATATTATTAATAGAAATTAACTCCGCTATCTTAAAAAAGAAAAAATTAGATGCGTGGGTATAGTAGCTAAGAAAACTAAAAAAACTAGGGGGGGGATAGGGGCACGACGACGTAGCTAGTAAGAAGAAAAAGAAGAAGATAGGAATATAGCAAGTATACGCGGGAGCTAGTAAGAGAAGAGAAGAAGAAGAAGATTAGTAGTAGTAGTAGATAGTAAAAAAATCGTAATAGTATAGAAGTAGAGATAAAAAAGTTATTTTAGCTAAGGAAGAAAAGAAGAAGAAGAAGAAGTTTAAAAAGAAAAAAGTTAAAGCCTTTATATCTAGCGCAGACTAGTAATTTACTATAAGAAAGGAAGGTCCTAACTATAACTTACTATAGAAGTGAAGTTCCGCTAGTTACTTACTTCTATTCTTTACTACCGCGCTTTACTTTTAATATTTATTTCTAATACTTTACCCTACTAACTTACTTCCTTTACTTACTACTACTATCCTTACTTACTTCCTACGTAACTATACTTTACTATAACCTTACCTTAATTATATAGGGACTCTCTAATAGATCGCTTAAGTAGGCAAGAAATACGTGGGTAAGACGAAACCTTAATAAAAGTATTAGAAAAGACAGAAATTATTACTAGGGATAGCAATATAAAAGAGGGGGGTAATTATTATACTATAACTCGATAACCGCGATAAACGCCTATAGGGAATTATATAACCCTTGGAGAAGATATTATATAACTTACCTAAGCTCTAGTACTTATATAAGCACATATATATATATAAGTATACCTTACTATATCCCTAAAAGAAGGTAGCGATTAGTTCCTTAGATATTAAGATTCTTATAGTAACTTCCTATATAACGCGTACTCTAGCTATTAAGCACTACTGTAGCGTCTATAAGCCTCACCGCCTCACACTCTAACTACTAGAAAAGAGATAGAGACTATCTAGATCTATTTTTAGAGGACTCTACCTTAGGAATATATTTAAAGCTAGATTAAGAGGATTCTATACTATATTAAGAAGATTATTAAACTAGATAGTGGAAATAAATATCGCGAAGGTATTATAGACTATCTGCGGCGTAGCCTAGATAAATACATTTATTAAATAACAAGGTTCCGGCACGGAAGAACCCTATGGATCACGTAATAATAGAACGGTCTAAAATACTAAGATTAGGATAGTCTAATATAGACTATAACTAAATAGTCTAAAATAGACTATAGGAGAATAGTCTATTATAGACTATAACTAAATAGGAGGAAATAGACCTTTAGGATATATATATAAAGATATTTATTTTATACCTTAATTAAGAGCTATCCCTAATACTTAAGATTAAAGCTAACTTTATAGTAAGCTATAGCTTTATAGTACTAGTTAATACACATACACTTCCCTTTATCTATCTAATATCCTAAGCTACTTCTTATACTAGACTTAACTAGTATACTAGCTTTATTACTTATAAGAACCTTAGAGAGTATATATACGCTAAGCTAGACTTAGAGCTATTACCTTAAAGTTAGATATTAGAGTATTCTTTCTATAGTAAATAAGCACTATTTATACTCCAATCTATCTACAGAGTACTTTAAGTTACACCTTTCCTCGAGACGCCTCCCTTATCCCTATAAGAGAAGCCCACCTTTGTAGCATTGATCTTACTTCAGTGTCTACAAATCCGAGCCGCTTTGTAGCAGAAGGCTATCCTAAAGAAGAAAGATATAAGAGAGAGAAATAGAGAAAAGGAGAGCTTTTAGAGCTTACCTATCTAGATAAAGAGGATAATAAAGATAGTAAGTATAAGGATAAATTAGAGCCTATTAATATTCAAATTCTAGCTTTAAATTTATAAGCTTTAGATAGTATAGATAAGGTAGATAAGGTAGATTTAGATAAGGTAGATAAGCTAAGTGAGGATAAGAGCGATAATAATAGTAATTAAGCTTAAGCTTTGTTAGTAAATTAATTTCTATAAATATCTACTTTTAGTATACTTTGAATATTATTCTATATATAAATTTATATAGTGAGCTATATTATTATTATAGCTTAGTATTCTTGGTATATTTTGTGGTTTTTATTAATACAGTGCCAAGCCTAGAGGACCACTTAAAGACTTTTGGGCGCGACCTCCGTATGCTATCCGAAATTGAAAGCGACGAGGTTCATATGTGGGTTTTGCCCATATCTTACAGTCTGTTGCATAATTGCTACGAAACCTAAAGCCAGGCTCAGAATTCTCCCTTATGTATCGGTTCCCCATTTAGAATTGATCCAAGGTGACACCTCCTAAGACTCTGTCCTTTTCTTCGTAGATTTAGCAGAGTTTTCAGAAATGCTATCGGACTTTTCAAAAATCGGCACTGTTTTGCCATGATTTCATCAAAGATCACTCGGCTGGCTGGATCGATGAACCCGTCGCCGTATATCTTGACCCATTTACTATTCGGCGCGCAGGAAGCCAGTCCTAAAAATTGACAAAGGAGGACGTACTCTTCGTGACATCTGAGATACAATTGGCCAGCGAACAGATTTAGCTGCATGGTGACGGCTGGTTTCATTCGCGGTGTCAAAACAGCCGGAATGGCGAATGCAGTGAGGTCCTCCATTGACCGCATAGAGGCACTTGTGCGTGGTGAATAGACATGTAGCGAGACTGCCTTGAATTTTCTGATATCTGGCAGTAGCTCGTTCGCTTCGAAAGGGCTTAGAATCACACATTCTCTGGTAACAGAGTCCCGACTACATGCAATCCATTGCACGGGCCTTAGAAACATCCCAAGGTTCATGCCCACGGGACCTCGGACGGTGCGGGCAAAATCTTTGGTTGCAAGTAGATAGTCCGGCCACGCGGCTAGTTCCAAAGATTCACCGGCGGTGGTCCCGCCCAGTGTCTGAAAGATAGGTTGTAAATACTGTGAGGAGCGGTCGAGGATTCCCACTTTTATAAAGCGCCTAATTTCCTTGCTGATGGTGTGTCTGAGGGGTTCTGACGTTGGTGGGTGTTCAACCTGCTGTTCTCGCTCATTCTCTGGCGACAATTCGCGTTCCTGCTCTTCTTGCAGAGCTGTACTATCAAACGAGAGAATTCCGAACCGTCGACATCTTTCTCGAATAGCTTCCAGTTGACTCTGCTCTTTAGAAAGGCTTAAAAGGACTTCTTCCCCTGTGGACTGGCGATCCAACCCATAACGTTTCTCCAGGCTCTGTGCCTCTGGCTCGAGTAGCGACTCCACGGTTTCTAACGAAGGTGTTCCCATTGGATCATTTAACAAACCAGACCACATTGTATGACGGCGTTGATATCGTATCCCTTGTGTTGCCCATAGCGGAATACTCCTTTTTGTGTGGACGCTGGTCTCTTGAATACTCCATCTCAGCACGTCAGCTACCTCGACGCGATCGCTGACAGCTTTGCCACTGCAATCAAGTATTTTCCTTTCTACTTCCATCGGGGCACAAAACATTACAGACTGGCCTTCCCCAAGCTTCCGCATACGTTTGCACGCTGTACTTTGTTAGCCTGAAGGGCACCAAGAGACGGAAAGAAGGGGGATGGCTGCAATACCTTGTACGAGCCGGTCTTTTGTTAGTCCAGGCCCTAACGTTACAGCTGCCCGATAATCTGCCGGCAGCCTCAAATCTGTGCCCCGTGTGTGAGCTTCATCCAAGTACACTAGGCACTTGTCCATCTGCTTGGCATATGGGGATACCATGAAACTTTCTGTGGTGTGATATCGGGTTAGGACTGTGAGTTCGTTATCATCATTAAAGAAGACCGCCGCCATTGCCTTGCTAGATGGGACACGCTGAAGCCACGAGGCTGCTACTTGTTCATTCTTTAGTTCCAACACCTGCGCCCCAACGTCAAGAAGAACTCTCACAGGGGGGTCTGATTTGGCTATTTCATTCAAGAGCGTCTCGGCATCGAGGCCATCGTTTGATGTACCCCGTGGTATATGATAATAGGTATTTTCTGGGAGAAGCAGGCAGACGAGCTGGGTTGCATTTGTATGTCTTTGTTCCTCAAGGTCACTCTGGTGGATAGACGTTGGCAGCACATATCTGCTGTCATTAGTTCCACTAAAGCCTGTGGTCGGAAAAGCCTTCTTTCGCGCAATGTCCCACCCCGAAGATGAGAGTTTGTATGGAAATTGTTTCATATCCTTGGGGAAAACGATATTGGACATATAGAAATCGATGACGCCTTTAGCAAACCGAAGTGAGGGAAATACATGCAGAGAGCATTGATCGCCGTCGCTTAGGTTTATGCCTCTCAGTTGTCGGTAAGATAAGGGTAGTGTAGGGGCATCTTGGACCCAAGCATCATATTCCTCCTGTGCGTGGTCTGATAGAAGAAGCTTCTCGAAGCTGAGGCGGAGCTGCTCGTCGTTAAGCCCACCGTAGTAGTACGACAAGCAGGTTAAAACGATAGCAACATCTGGATGACTGAATTCAGCTCGGGTTGCTGGACTGTCTTTCGCGCGGTAGGGTACAGCAAGCATTGTCCGCGTGAGGTCAAGCCCGTAGTCGACGCGCCATCTTTTGTGCATTAATGCAAAGTTCAGGACTCCCCCAGAAATGAGGCCTCTGAGAAGAAGTACACCTGTTTTGACTGATTCTGCAGTAAACACGGTAGCCTGCAATATTTCTGCTTCGGCTTCCGCTAGTGAAAGATCAGTAAGATACTTGAATAGTACCTCTCGTACATCACAAGGGAGTGTCCACACGGGTATACCGCGAAGTCCATTATCGCATATCTTACGGGCTACTATTTCCAGCAGCTTTTCACCTGCACCGGCCTGTAGGATTCGAATGCGAGGAAAGCCCCCTTGACGCGCAAGTTTCACCTCCAATCCTCCTGGGAGCAATTTGTTGACCACATCTATGCAATCAGAAACTATTCTCAATACAGCCTCAATGATTGCCCAGCGATCCGGGCTAAACTCGACTGCGTGTTGAGCCCCGATGGTGTAGATCAGTTCAAACCGGACGCTTAGGATTTCATCGCTTTCGTCCAGCACGTCGCGCGAATATTCGTTAAGCCATCGTTGTGTTCTGATGATAGAGTTACCAACCTCCTCATCTCCTGACAGAAGACGCTCAAACCCCATCAGCTCAAATGAGAGGATATGCTCTGGCTGTACGAGTAACACTCCGCCGGAGCGCTTGCAACTCTCAAATAGCTTTCTGATCTTAGCTACACTCTCCGTAGTCAACTTTAGTGATCGCGAGATTGGAATATAATAGATACGTCGGTTGAGTAGGCCACCCAGCTTCTGAACCAGTAGGTGGAACATTTGGTTCGCCAGAGGCTTAAGGACAACAACCCGGACCATCTTTTTCGTGTCTGCCAATGTGGCGGCAGCAATTGGGACGATAACAGACGATTTACCCTCGCCCATGTTCAATTGCAGAACTGAGTTTTTGCTGGATAAGGGGGATATCATCTCACGCGCAACCTGGGCCTGTACTGGGCGAATAAGCATGTCATTTTCTATCTCTAGAAGAAGCCAATCCGGATATTGCATGGGTTCCCAGCCTATGTGACCCGAGTTTTGGAGCTCACTGAGTAAATTTGAAACGTTATTACTACACTTGACGAGCCGGTGCGCACGCTGTAGCGCTGATATCGCCGTTCCATAGCTGACAAGAAACCGTCTCCAGCTCTCACTTAAAGCGGGCAATTTATCTCTGGCCAGGTGACAGAGTAGTGACGTAGGAGACAATCTCGGCCACATTCTTGCATCGCAGGCAAGTTGCTCTCCGGCAGACGATTGGGATTGGATGCAGCTGTGGAAAATTCGGTAATTATCGTCGACATTCTGCTTGCACCTCTCTAAAAAGCCCTTCAATTCCGGTACAAGTTCCGCCAGGGGTTTGGTAAGCCTGTAAATCTCGTCTTCGCGGAGTGATTCAAGGCTTTTGAGCAAGTCATCTGCATACTGCTTCTCATACTCACCCTTTGGGTGCGATGTTCGACAGGTTAGTAGAGCTTTTACAGCGCTCTTGTCTATTTCCTTCCCACATCGTCGCCGAATCCATAATTGATGACTATCAGAGCAAACAGGAAGAATGGCTGGCCCTTCACTCTGCATGAAGCGATCGAGTCTAATATGTCCGAGTTTTGGCTTATAGCCTTCAGGGGGCTGGGAAAAGGAGTAGAAACTTGGGTTCTCAATCCTAGTAACCAACCTGTTCAGGATATCTTGCGCTTCAGCTATGTAATTCTTGAACTCGAGATTTGTGTACCAAGTGGAGAATAATGCTTGCGCACCCAATAGCGCTTGGTCTAAGTTGATATAGGTGCTGCAACCTGTGTCATCTTGCTCAGAAGGATTGGGTGTCGGCCATTGCTGAATAAGCCTATCAGTAAGCGCTTCAACTTGTATTTCCCTCGCGGATAAATGTTCCCTCCTGCGACGATCTTCGGCCTCGTTAAAGGTCTCGTCATGCCACTTTGGAAGGCTGCTCTCTGGGCATTTGTAGAACGGCCAACATTGGCCCTCGATCGCAGCCTTCAGCCTGTGCCTAACAGGAGAGTATCCGTCCTGGAGCACAAAGCGCGGATGACTGGTGGTCGCAAAACACAGAGCTCAGGACAGGTCGCAAATGCTAGCAGAGTTTGCAAAAGACTCTTTCCCCATTGCTGCGAATATGCCAGAGTCGATAGTAGAAACATGACCTGGTACTTGTCGCTCTCCCGTCTACTCTGCGATAGACTGACCTGTAGTGCAGACCACCGACCAGGGAGAAGGTTGGAAGGTGTGTCAAGCCACGATACATCATAGCCCAGGGGCAGCAGAGATTCTTCGCTAACACCTGCGACAGGTCGTGACCAATATTCGATCTCAGAAAGTAAATGTGAATGATTTTGCAGGCCTGCAGACCAATCATCTACTTGCTTTGCGATGGCACAGACATCAAGTTCGCGTGTGTTTTCAGAAATCCGATCTCGAGGTACATAAACACTATCATAGCCAGGCTTGTGGTCCTCGGCCCCGAAGCCATGTACGCGATATACAGCTTCTCGAGCGGCGGCCCTCTCAAGGAGGTGCTCATCTGTTGGTATGTTCTCTGGTGGGAGTGAACCAGGTATATCTTGAGCACTGGCTATGTTGAAGATCAAATTAACAAATCTACTGAACGAGGGATGCTGCGCGAGTGGAGGGATATCTTCGTTCCACTTAATCTGTTGCATCACACGTAAATGTTTGGGATAGTATTCTCTCCGCGGTGTCAGCTTCGCAATAAGCTTCAGCAGGTCAATTTCATCACAATCGAGTTTGAGGAATGACTGTGTGGACGCTAAGCTTAGTCCGCTGAGGGCCTCCTCAGTCCCTGTTCTTCCAGTAAGTCCATCTACTAGGAAATGGCTCGTTATCGCATGAAGATAGAATTTATATAGCCTGCTTTTCAAGCTGCCATTATCAACTAACCGGCCTAGCGTCAAATCCACCTGGTAGAAGTGGTAGGAGACATTCTGCTCAGAGGGATCAGGTTTAATTCTCACGGAGACATGCTGATCCGTCCTTTCAGATGTCACATCGCCATGTGGAATAATCACACTTCGTGACGAGTCGCGAGAGCCTCGAAGCATAAGCTTATTCGTCAACCCAGTTAAGGCCCTTAGTGATTGGTTCTCATCAACGACCATTTCCCTGAACTGCTTCGATTCAAGTTGCAAGGAGTTTGGTGTCAAGAAAAAGTCAAGTTTCAGGCGTGGCAGGTGAATATCCAGGCATCTCGTCATGTGGTTGAAGAATATATGTATATGGTTCGTGCTCTCTAGGGGACCCAGGGCCAATGATACTGCCTTCGCCGTTGGACTTCGAACATCGATCAATCTTAAGTCGCCTTTGACTAATGTGTAGTGGATTTCCTCTCGTTTCATCCACCAGTTATTCGAAGTAGTTTCCCAAACATGTTCCAGCGGCCTCCACTCAACCCGGCCAGTGGATACTTCCAGCCAGTGTGCATATTGTTGAACAAAAGCATCGGGAAAATCCCGAGTTAACGCAGTGTCAGGAATAAGCTCGTAAATATGCCCATAGACTTTAGTTCGAATGACCAGCTCTGAGTCGTGCATCCTAAAACTGACCTACCATAGTTACCCATTAGCATTCAACCTACAAAGCAAAGAAGCAATTCGAGCCTCGATAGAAAATATAGGGAGAATACCTGATGGCCACATATTTTAGCCCGCGTTTCAAAGATCATATCAGCCATTGTCGAAGGGACAACTTCAAGTACTTTCTGTGTAATCCGATCAGCATCCTTTCATTATAACATTTGTATTTAACTGAAAGTGGTGTTATAGCTAGTTACCTCACCAAATATCCGCTGGTAAGTTCTGTGTAATGTATATGAAGGAGGAAGCCGCGTTAGTGGCAATCCATTGACGAGCAAGCTGCCGTTAAGGATATTGTAGTTGACAACCATCGTGGGAGCTCCAGGCCCACCAGATGTCTTCGTCTCGACCCAGCGATTATTAGGGGCATCTAGAGCGGACCAAGCTCCAGCGGGCTTATACCCAGCCCATAGAAGTTCAACCGTTATGTTAAGGCCACTACTTAGCGCGCTGTGGCGCCGGACAAACGGCTCAAGAAAGTGACACAACCTTGAGTACCTCCGTAACAGAGACTTGGTGCTCTGGGGTAGGCAATCGGTTGTAGGAGGGCAGAGGTCATGCACAGCAATTGCACATTCTGTTAATATTGCAATATCGTCGCTAGATCCTAGTATATGGTGGATATGCTGCGATTCGACATCGAACGTTCCATGACAGCTTAGGGCCATTTCAAGTGCACGCCTGTACAGAATTGACCTATATCCCTCTGTTAGTTGGGCCTGTACTTTCTTGATAATATCGCGGGTCCACTCTAGCGTGATTTCCCGGGCTCGTCGTAGAGTGCGATAGCAACCCTGACGCACTGAATCATGACATGAAAGAGAAAGCAGCCGGGTTGCTATGGCTGTAAAGGTACGGACTGCTGGTGCACTTTGCCAATTTCCTTCAATGCGGTTGAGTGAATCTTCTAGGGTAGAGAGGAGTGATATCCCAAAATCCTCTTCTTCAAGGTCAACGTGGGATTCTCGACACACCATTCCATCACTCGCCGGGCCCGCTTGCCATATACTCTGAACAATCAAGACGTGGGTCTCTTCGTCATTGAAGTTGATCGAGTGAGTAACGAGCTGAACCGCAATGTTTCTCCACTGTAGCCGATGACCTGCGCGCAGTATCCAAAAATCATAGAATTCATGAAGCGTTAAGCCCCGGGGGCATTCATGTTGTTTTGCAAGGACCTCATTGGAGGTGTGATCTGTGCTACTCACAGCATTCTGCATCCCGCAGTACCTGGAAGATTGAAGCTCGTGCGTACATTTTTCCTGAATGTTGCACTTGTCGATAAGGTCTGTCGCCCAATTTTTTGTCTTTGAGTCATATAGCGAGTAACTCATTCCGTTATTAACACATATATTGTCCCTACTAGCCATAGAGATCTTCATTGACTTGTAATGTGAGACAACGAATGGTTTTGGGATTGATGCTATCTGAAGTCGACCGGGAACTGATATAGAGAATTTACTTAGGTTATCGTAGCCGTAGAGGGTGTATACTTTTCCTGTAGCTCTAGACCTGGCGGGTATAAATCCAGGGTCGCCAGAGAGCAGGTCTACAAGGATGCTGTATGTCGTGTCTCGCCATGCAGATACCACTGACGGCACATTGAGCTCAAACACCGCTGCCTTAGCCTCTAGATTTTTTGCAGGAAGAGACCATTCGTGAATGTTTATCATTAGGCTCTCCGCCCTTGACTCGAGCCTACACTTCTCACAGCTACTACTGTGAGAAGTGACTTCACGACGCTTCCTTCGCCGGGTTACGTACTCACAACTTCGTGTTTTTGAGTCCTGTATCAACCGTTGGTATTCTCGTTTCAAGCTCTCAAGCTGTGATATCCTCTCGTCTCGTTCAGCCTGTGCCTGCTTTTCAATCCGACGCCGTAGCAACTGGTGGTCTCGAGATTGATCAAAATACCTAACGGCAAAGCTTCCAGTTGATTTGATGGACCCGAAGACAGACGGAAGGCTTGGGTTCGAACTACTCTTCCTCTTAGAAAGATATTTCTCAATACGGTGTAAGCGTTCCAAATGGCATTTTTTCGGAGCTAGTAGTGGCTCGAATAGGCCTGGCGGAAATCCGGGATCATAGTCTTTCAGCAGCGGGCAGTGAAGAATGGCACATTTGTCAAGTGCTACCCATAGACCCATCACCGTAAGTAGCATCAAGGAGACATCCACTGGGTTGCCCGTATAGATGGGGATGGCAAGGCCTGTGTATGTATCTATCACAGATTTTAAAGCAACGCAGGACCCTTCTGCAGAACGGTTTAAGGTCAACCAATCATCAAGGCACTCTTGAACCCAGAATTCCAGGTCCGCAACAAAGATGAGTAAATTATCTACTGCGGTGCATTGCGTGTGCGTGAGATCTGGTAGTTCTGAGCTGCACTGTAAGGTGCGAGGAGGACAAAGAGGAATGAGACCAGTGCGACTAGAGGACAGTCTTTTCCGGGACTCTACCGCTGCAATATATGGGCGTATATTGCTCAAAGACAGCCGCACATCATTGACAAAGCAAAGCTGCCGTGGATTCCATCCGGACTGCGCCCCACTAGGATCCGGACTGACCTGAAGCCTGTTCCATCGGCCTGTTAAATCCTCCTGAACTTTGCGTACGATACGCCTTGTATACTGGAGCCAAGCACATTCCTTGGTGACTTCGACTTTCAGCACACGTCGACTGATTTTCGCAGTCATGACGAACAACAAATCACCCGGAAAATCAAGTGCATGAGCACACTCTAACAGGTAGGTCATGAAGAAAATCATGAACGACTTATACCTGTGATGAGAGGCTTGACCGCCATGATCTTGTACAAGGCTAGTCTGCAGCGCAACACGAAGGAGGAGCCATAGCGGCGACCTCCGCCAAGGATGAAGCGTATCATTCCATAATACATCGTCTCTGGTGCGTTTATGGACTCGAGGAACATCAAGCGGTTGCCCAACCGCACGGAGGATACCAGTAAGCAGCTCCGTGATGAATCGAGGGTTAGCTGTGTCTCGGGTTTCTGTAACCGTGGAATTCGCCTTCACTACTATCGGCATTACCGTCTCATGTGTCTCGGTATCCAGCTGCGAGAGAAATTGGGCCAGATTCTCTCGGAAACCTATGTCGGCCATCCGGTCGTGAGCGATTGATATTGCTGGGCCTGGGAAACATCGTCGAAGTCGCCCTTTAGTCTCTATCACGTCCTTTGTAGTTGGCGAGAGCTCCATTGACTCGAACATATACTGAGAGTGAGACCTTCGCACGATAAGCCCTGCGTTCTGGCCACGGATGTGCAGTGCGAGAAGCCCTATTGACAATTAACTGAGGCATCTACCGTCTCACTGGCCTGCGTTTACCTTTGTCTCTCATTTTAATCAACGTTTCCCCCAAGTTGTCTGCCAACAACCCTCCGGTATCACTGCGTAGGCTGGACATGTCGCCAACCATCTCGGCACATGCTCTCCATGTTGGATGCTCCTGCACCGGGCTGAAATCACGAAACTTCTCCAAAGCTCGAAGTAACATTTCTAGAAACATGTCACTATGCTCGATACTATCGTCGTTCGACTGGGGAAGTTTAGGCGGGAAAAAGACATGGTTGACAATGTACTCCAGATTCCACATGTTTGCATGTCGGTGTATTTGATTAGGGCCTTCCATCTTGGAGCAAAACTATACCGTGCCTGATATACCTCTAGACTTTAATGAAGAAAGTAAGGTATAAATAAGGTGTATACTGAGAAACTTTGATATCAAGGTATATTTGTGAAAATCAACCCAAGTTGGTCTCTTTTCGGAATAGCAGTGTGAACTGCGGGGTAGTATTATCTTGCAGGTAAATCCTAACCATTAAACAGCTGATAAAAGTTGGATGAAGTTCAGCAAGCCGGAAGTCAACGTAGTCAACACAGCTTGGCATACATACGTTACCCCTCAGACTGCAGGATGCTTTTCTTATCGACCTCAAATATAGTATAGTCCTGCGGTAAGTCCTCGGCGGTGCTTCCGTTCACAGCTATATTGCACAGAAAGTTGATCATGTCGTTGTCCATGTTGTTTAGAGCGTACTTGTAGCCGCCCTTCAGGACAACGGAGTGAAGAGTAACTTGACTGGTGCGGGTTATCGTCTCTTGTCCAGATTTCTCATTGAATCGTCCCAGCTTATTCCAGCTGCTACCAGCGTATTCAAGACCCCACGTCGAATTTACCAAGACATCTGTGGTTGGTATACCGACACTGCTGCGTTTCTGGAGGGCGTACGATCAACAGAAGGAATCTTCGACATTGAGACAAAAACGTCAGGTCATCATCAAGGCTTATTGCCTCACCGATTAGCTGGATCAGTCGTTGGCATAGTGTCGCATCAAGTCTGTAAGAAGCGAAAGGGCATAGAGCATGGCCAAGAATGTATTGTAAGTGTACATCGCTATATTTCAGCCATAAGTTCCACCAGGCCTTATCTATGGCTGTACCACGTAACCCCAATGCTTCTAGGCGAAAGCCCGGCGAAATTTGACAAGAAGCATTGGTGGAGGATGGGGAGCAGGAGGGTTGATAGAGGCGACACGTGTATATCAAAAGAGAAGCTTGTTAACATATTCGCACCCGGATGATTGATACTCTGGTACTGCCGTACGCTTCCCAAGAGGGTCATGTTGGATGTCGACCAGTTAGCGGACCGCCGCATCATAAAGTATGGTTGGAGGAAAAATGTAATGCGTCCTGGTGTGCCGTCATCAATATGGCACCCGACGGTTATCCATGTAGGCTGGTGAAGAATTTAGGGAAAGCCACGGTCTACATGGCAATCACCGCTATTTTTGGTAGCATAGCCTTCAAGTGAGTGAGTGAGGTACGCAGCAGACATCATGATGGTATCAACACTGTTAATTTGTAATGACAAATTTCAGCCGATGCTCCTGGCTATAGCTGACAGAAGACACGGGACCAACTCATGGGAGAATGCTCGGCTTCGAGTTGAATGGCCTGTGGCTCCCTTTAGAATTGAATGAAGATCGGTGACTGCTAAGGTTTGAAGGGCCAAGGACGGGGGGCAGCATAAAATAGCACAAAATATGAGTAGGCATGGCCTTGCTAAGCAAAGCCTGGTTCCATATTAAGGACTAGCGCTGCATATGTCTTAAAGATGTCTCCACGCTGCTGATGAAACTCCATGTGCTAGGGCCGACTGTTTGGTAGCATTTGTCATTGCTATATGGGAACAAAATCTGGGTAAATGCAGAAGTTTGGGGTCGGGGCTTTTATACCCCATTGCATTGAAGGTTTTTCAGTTTGTTAAGCCGCACAGCCAAGCAAATGCCACAAGAACCATGATATATCCACTAAATTATGCAAGCGAAGGAAATACACTCGCTATAGCTATGGAGGTCGTCCGTATCCAAAAGCAGCAATGATATT